AGAGGAAAAGTGGGGAGGAGTGGGGCAAAAGAGCATTGAAACCCAGGGAGGGCCTGGCCTCATTTCAGATTTACCTGCAGTGACACTGTTCTTGCATAAGGTCATTGCACCTTGCTTTAAAATTACACCAACTTTGAGACTGACGCTAAACAGCTTGCAAACAGCTAAGCTTTGATAGTGCTAGAGGGAATACTGGCTTCTGAAAATAGTATGAGCATGTAGCTTAGGGAATGTGGGAATTTTTTTTTTTCTCTTCTAATTTAAAAGAATAAGAAAGTGTGGGAGGGGGGAGCTTCTTTCATCAAGGAAAACTTTGTTTTTCTAAACTCCAATGACCAGACAGGTTACAATGGGGTCTTTGTAAGTGAAACCTCAAACCTCGGCTGGGCTCACCCGCCCCCGCCTGGTCCTCTCCCGGCGGGAGGGAGGAGATGCCAGAGCCTTCGGGAAATTGCTGAAATTTTGACTGATGCCAGCCATGGCCGCTCGGTTCCAATCCCAGAGCGACGGGCACCGCTAGCAGGACTCGCGGTTTAGTGCTGCCACCACCGGCTGGTGGAGCGGGAGAGGGAGCTTTAGCGCAGCTAGCCTGAATTCCCGCCTTCTCCAGCAAGGCCTGCCCTTGACTGCGTCCTAGAGGGGCGGGGTGGGGGAATTAAGAAGCAGCCAGGCTAACAATTAAACCCCGGTCTCAAGTCATGGCCTTCAGAGCTTCTGTTTGCAGTGTTGGGGCCCAGTCGAGGAGGAGACGCCTTTCCTAGATGACCAGAGGGTCATTAGGGTCCCCGACTCCGAGGGTACTCGCTGCAGGTGCTCAAGGCTGCGGGAAGAACGCGGCTGCAGAGCCCAGGGAAAGCTCTGCGCCTTCCCCACACCTCCCGCGACGGCTGCTCCTCCACTTTTCCCTGCGTGCACTTGAAAATTGCAAACACATCTCGCCCTCCGCTTACCTGGTCGGTGGTCTCGATGACCTGGAGAGGAAAAGACCGGGAGAAAGTGAGAAGGCTCTCCCCACCCCCCAAACTCGCACACAACTTACTTGAGCCAAGCACAAGCAGAGCCCAGACAGCAGCAGTGGCAGTCCTAGGACCCCTCGATCCCTTGCTGTCCAGGCCATGCCCGCCACCCTCTGCTAATCCCCTGCACGGACTGTGTCTCCTGCCGCCCCGCTAGGCTTCCGGACCCGGCACACGCATTAAGTGGCACTTCTCCCACACACACAAAAGAAGCGCCCCCAGGAGTAGTCTTTGCTAAGGTGCCTGGCCCGGGTGGCGTACTTTACTCCTGTTTATGAATGGCTATGGAGAGGGTCCTGGGGATTGGAGGAGAGCTTGCGGCTGGAGGACGGATAGAATGACAACAGTCCCCCTTAACCCTTTCCCCGCCGCCTCACTGGCAAGGCCTGAACGCGTGCCTCTGCCTCTGCCTCTGTCTCTTCGGGTCTGCCCAAGTGTAGTCTCTCCCGGTCCACTGTGGGCAGCGAACGGACCTCAAGGGTTCTTGGAAAGGTGTTTGGGGAGGAGGAGTGAGGGTCGTAAGCCACCAAAAGTAGAACCAGACACCCCCGAGGTAGTTTGTACTTGCCAGGCTGTGGGTGGGACCTGTGCTTCCTTGAAATTTATCTGGTCTGTATAGTAAAGCCTGAACTCTTTAGAAAAAGAATGAGGAGGTGGGGTGTTTGAGGAAGTGGTGAGAGGTAGGCTGGGTGGCAGTGACCTTTGCAGGTGGTCAAATGACTCACAGTTATCCTAGCTGGCAGTTCATGGCAGGTTTCTCTCCTCGGGCGTAGTGGGTCACAGTGGATCAGCATCCACTGAAGTTCAAACTGGAGAAAGACAGCATACAGTTCACATTCTCTTGGAGGACACAAGCAGGTCATTTAAGAGAGAGAGAAGTTTTTGTAAGTGTGGTCCGACTGTTAAATGGGTGGAGACCAGCTTGGACTGGTTCACCTCAATGGACCAGTAGTCTTATTCCCTGAATACAGATTTTCTGATGGAAATGGGTTGGAAGCTCTTCCTAAATTTCTCAGATTATTGAATGTAGATGTCAGTAGCTCTGCAATACTCCAGCATTACTCCAGCATAGCCTTAGGCAGGAAAGAGCCCTCTGGCATTGAATTTCCATTTCTGTCCTTACCACATCCTCAAGATGTAGATTTTCTATTCACATGAGGCTTTGAGAGAACAAAGAACTGTCCAAGTCAGAAGCCTGTGTGAGGGTCTGGACTGGAACCCAGGCCTACTGAGTGACACAGCACACATGGGCTAAGCGTTTACACGGGAGAAGATTAGAGACGGAGACAGCCAAAGAGGTGGCACCCAGGATGAAAGAAGAGGAAAGAAAATCCAGTCCTAGAAAAAATTTGCATGCTACAGAATAAATTCTCCAGGGAGTACTCACAGCTTGAAATGGAAATTGGAAGGACTGGAAATGGAGGAATTGAGAGGGAAATCTAGAACTCAGGGGAAAAAACAAGATAATAGAAGACATTTGGTGTTATGTCAAATGTGCCCTGACAAGTTCTTACATTTTAGCAGGTGTTAAGGGAGAAATAAGAAGGGAGCAGGAGAGAAACAGAACAATGGAAGAGTGACCAGGTCTGAAGCTGAAGGCCTCCGGTGACAAGGTAAAAAAAAAAAAAAAAAAAAAAAAAAAAAAAAAAAAGATGTACACCACCATGCATCATGGCATCATGCTGGCCCGTCTTCTTAGATTGAGGAAGCTCTTTGCTAGTCATCTCAGATCCATATTTCTTGGTCAGTTGATTCTCCTGGCTTTATGCAAATGCCTAGTTAAGTATCAGGGTCCCAAATCTAAAACATTATCTCTTTTCTTTCATCCAGTAGTGATTTACACTCCATCCCACCTGCCAAATGGACTCTAGATCTACTGGATCTAGCATTAAATTAGATACATTTTTTTCCACTGTTACAGAAGGATCCAGAGTTGAAGTACTGAATGGAAGATCAGAATTGGAAAGGATGAAGGATGAAGTCCATCCTTCCTACCCATAAGGAAGGGAAAGTTAAACAAAAGGAAGTTTTCCATTTTATAGAGTGGTAAAAGTAAGACATTAAGCTTTCAGATTCCTGCACCTCTTGTTAGATGATTCTAAGTGTCCTCTCAACCCTACCATAGCTTTTCTCCAGAAAATATGGGTATCTGGAAAAATGAGGTAAGTGGAATGAAAAGAAAGTGAGAGCTAAACCAAGGCATATTTTAAGACGGAAAGTTCTCTACAAAGAGTATGAAAAATATCTGTGTATTCATAGTATGAATTATTTAACAATAGTTTACTGACATCCTTCAAAGGAACTGCTTTCCAAGCCACACAATTATCTTACAGTTAAGAAAATCACTTGAATCAAATACTTTATTTTTATTAGATTAGTCTTATCTGTTTGGGATCATTTTATTTTGATTTTCTTCTAAACTGCAGTAGAAATTTTAATAGATAAAAGAAAGAATGGAACAACATTTGCCTTAATGACTACTAAAATACCTAGCTGTGCCTCAAACAACTCTTTGAAGCCGTTCACACATGAGTAAAGTGAGGCAGAGAGGTTAAATCATTTGCCACAGGTCACACAGCTAGTAAAAGACAGAGCTAGCATTCCAAATGTGCCTGACTGTAAAATAAGGGCCTTCTCCAACCCGCTCCTTATCCTCCCCCAAGAATATATCCCAACTCCAGAAAAAGCCATAATTTTCTAAGCCAATAACCAAGGAATTTGGTGATTGAACATTCATATTAAAGATGAATAGGGGCATCTGGGTGGCTCAGTCGGTTGAGCGTCCAACTTCGGCTCAGGTCATGATCTCACAGCTCGTGAGTTCAAGCCCCACATCAGGCTCTATGCTGACAGCTCAGAGCCTGGAGCCTGCTTCTGCTTTTGTGTCTCCCTGTCTCTCTGCCCCTAACCCACTCACATTCTGTCTCTGTCTCAAAAATAAATAAAAACATTAAAAAAAATTTAAAGATGAATAGAAAAGAAGAGTGATCTACAAATCAAAACTTTGTAAGCTTATTTCCAATATCTGGTAGAAAACTTCAGAACAAGACTAAGAAACTTCCATAAGAAGTCAGACCTCTCCCTATTTGCTTGTTATGGAAATACATCCAGAAGCAAATTTCTAATGGTTCTCCAAAAACTGACAATTATTGCTATATGCAGTTACATATTCATGTGTATAATAAAATATCAAATAGGAAAGAAGATTATAATTCTTTTTGTTCAATGATTAGATAAAAATATTACCAGAATAAGAAAAGGTGTCTCTCCCCTCCCTAAGTCTCAAAATAAGAAAGACCATTCAAATACTTTTATTCACATAGTCCTTTGTGAATTGGTAACTCGCATAAGGCATGCATTGTATATGTGTGATATTTTGATTCTCAAAATAATTCATAACTTAATCACCCTGAGAAACTTTAATTATATGGCTAACCAGGAAACGTATATCCTTTGTTTAGATAGTTCATTAATGTTACTTATTGAAAATGCAAAGTAATTCATTAAGCTGGTTTCTCAAAAATGTAATTCTCTGGATAAATTGGTACACCTGTTTAAATATGCAAGATGCAATTGTGGCACAGGATAATAGGGGAGTGAAGGATAATTCATCTGTGAATACAGGCTGCGTTGTTCAGAGTGCCACATAGATCAGAGGTTTCTGAACACATCTGTGCAGCCACATAAACACCACCCACACACTAATAATCATCTTTACAACAACCATTTTTTGGCATGAAATATGAATTCCAATTTGCATGTTAATTATTTTGAAGGAAGATTGGCAGAGTTCCTTACTAAAAGTCACTTACATTACACATCTAAAATGCTGATTTCCACACGTTTCTCATTTTCATACCTGGAATCATTCTTGTCTTTGAATACCCACTGACAAAGTATATGTGACGAATATTTTAATTTAGTCTTTCAGTCAACATTTTTGAAGTCCAAATATAAAGCATGCACTAGGGAAACATTCTAGGGAAAACCAAAGATATTCTCCTCTCCCTAATGAGTTTACAGTTTTTAAGACTTGAGAAAAATACAAGTTGAGAAATAAGAAGGGTGGTTTTTTTAATCTGTTAAACAGAACATAAATGCCCTACCATAATTCATCCTTCTCAACATAAAATGCTTATGAGTAGTGCCCAGCAGACAACATGTTAAAACAAGGAATTTTGGAGGCACCTGGGTGCCTCAGTCAGTTATGCATCCAACTTTGGCTCAGGTCGTGATCTCACGTTTCATGAGTTGGAGCCCCTCATTGGGCTCTGTGCTGACAGCTTGGAGCCTGGAGCCTGCCTCTGATTCTGTGTCTGCCCCTCCTCTGCTCATGTCCTCTCTCTCTCTCTCTCTCTTTCTCTCTCTCTTTTTCTCTCTCTCTCAAAAATAAATAAGCATAAAAAACTTAAAAAAAAAAAAAAAAAAAAAACACAAGGAATTTTGGCCCCAACTCTGTTCTTTTAATAGTGCTAGTGATTTCTACTTATTTTCCTAGGTTGTTGAGAAAGATTACTAACGTATTTAAGCTCTTCATAAAAATTAAGCAAAACCTAATAGCAAACAACTACCTTTTCCTCCTAAGAGAATTCTAACGACAAACTATAGAACTTGATTTGAAATTAATGAGAATGGCACAAGGCTTGATTTTTTACATACTGAATTATGATTAAACTTTACAAGTACAAAATACCCTAAAAACTAGCTCTTCAAAGATAAAGTTTTTTTTAACAGGAGAAATACTTCTTTAAGCTTTCGTCTACTCAATGGCAACAAAGATTTAAAGCAATACTTGACTTCTGAGATCTCATTTTTCTTTTCAGTTTACAACCAAAATTTGGTTTCTACCATCATAAGGGACCTCCTCCAAGCGAAGCTTCCTAGTTGCTAAGCAGGAGGTTCTGAGTTGCTTCGAAATCAGAAATTTCCCCAACTGTCTGTAGACTAGGCCATGCAGTTCCAGACACAGTGCTAGGAATTGTCATTAAATATGAGTAGGTGACAGTCATTTGAATCACACCAAGGGCAAAGGCAGAACAGTGAAAGGAAAGAGCAGTAAACATAGAGTTAGCAGACCTGGCATGTAGTAATTTATTCATCTTTTTATCCAACATATCTTTATATAACACATTCATGTGCTTTGAGAGAGATACTGTGAAAGACACAAAAATGTTGAGTACATAGGGCAGCATCTAGGCCAGAACTGCTTTTGACAATACATACTATTGCAGTTGATGTGCAACATGGCTAAGGTCATCAACAAGGGGATCATATAACATGTAACATGTGAGTGAGGCCTTGAAGAGCAGTTGCAATTTTCATAAGCAGAGATGGGAGGGTAAAGGTCAGGTCAGAGTTCTGAAGAGGTGACAGTAAGAGGAGGAAGTGATGTATAGAGAAGGGACCAGACTCACTGTGGCAAACAATAGACATTAGATTTTTTTTTCCTCTGTTGAATTCTAAGCTAAGGAATTTGAGTAGGATTGGATAGCTAATTAGGACTGTCATCAATGATTTTTCTGCACCAGGGATATGGATGGAGAAAGGTGGCCTAATTTAAAAGGGCACTTCAAGGGGATTCATGTGGTCATATATGCCCAGTCCTTGGAGCCAAAAAGAGGCTACTTTAGTAGAACATAAAGAAGTATTAAACTCTGAACTATGGTGAGGCATCCTGAGCTGTCTGTCCATTTAAGAAAAACAAACCTTCCCCTCATACCATATCCCCCTTCAGCTGCCATCTGGTTTTCTGCTTCCCTCCGGTAAAAACGCAAAAGAGCTGTCTAAATTTGTTGCCTCCAATTCCTCT